ACAGAACATATTGTATTGTGTTTGTCATGTATGGTTACAAGTGATGTTTTCTTTATAATTTGTTTCAGGAAGGACAAACAATGTTTGACTTAGCAATGCTTCCAAATGGGAGTGGCCAAAAATGGTAAAGTATCCTAAATCTTGAGCATTTTTAAAAAAAAATGTTTTTTTCAACGAATTATGCATCCATGTTTTCAATCTATAACCAAAATATGTAACCGTGTTCATCCCATAAATGTATATTTATGCAACATAATGTTTGACTTTTTGACCGATTTGAGGTTTTACACAGGTGCAAGACATGTGGTGGGAGTGGGCTTGGCTATTGCTCAAGGTGTCTTGGGACGGGGGAATACAGGTATCTTATGGGATTTCAATTTATGAAGAAAGATAATGATGGAAATGGAGGAAATTACAAGGTTCGTGATATGTTAAGAAATCGCAAGAGTGCAGCAGATTTGCTTCCAAATGATGAAACAGCTTAGAAATGGACGTATCACTTCAATTTTTAAATCTGGCCTTAACGGGTTTAAATCTACAACAACCACCCTTCATCTTCAGGTTGAGAGCCGAATGGCCCATAATATTTGTGGTCACCCTTCATATTCCGTTCATCACAAAACAAAGAAAGACGAATGAGGCGTGAATAAAATAGAAATAAAAATGTTGAACAAGGGTGGAAATGTGAAATGGTGTAAACAGAAGGTTTTATCAATGATTGGAGGTTAAAAAAATTAAAACATTCTTTGTGATTTTTATGTGGTTAGAATCTACTTTGTAATAGCTTTAGGCTTATGTATCTATTGCAACTAAATCGAAAGAAAAGTGTTTGATTTCAATGTTTTTCTCTTGTCACATCTTGAGTTAAAATAATAATAATAAAAATAAAAATAAAAAATTCAAATAAATTAATAATGATATAAAATAAAAAAAATTCAAGAGTTGTCCTAGGTATAACTTTTAAAGGTCTCAACTCTTGGATAGCTATATGCTTTCTTTTGGGAAAAATGATTTAGGAAGATAACTAAGTGTTTGAACCTGCTCACATTTGATCTCTTATCTTTTTTTTTTATCCTTATTATTCCTGTTTATGTGGTTATTACGTGGCATTATGTGGGATCTACTTGGCTTATTAAATGTAACTCCTACGATATTAAGTTGTTGTATGCGTCGTTTTCATCAATTGTGTCATAGATCGACATGGCCACTTTTTCTTTTATCTCTTCCAAACGAAATGCTGAATTTCAACCTGAAAATCCTTGTAATTGTGGGTTACCATCTCGCGTACGAACTAAAGATAATTTGGGGGAAAAAAATCAGATTGTGCCTTAACTCCATGGTAAATCAAATGTTTTTACTTTATTGTTTAATCATTTTCTTTTAACCAATTTGTTTCTTTTTTCAAGAATAAAGGACCAAAATGCAATTTATGGGAATGGTTGGAGACGAAACCCTTAAAAATGAGGGTCAATCCATGAACAAGTCCCATGTCAATGTCATCCAATAGGAAGTCAAGAAACCATTTACATGTTTCCTTATTTTCAACTGTCACCACAACTATGCAATAGGGAAGATATGGTTGTTTGCATCCCTATCCATAGCTGCTAATAGTTGACATTTACATATACCCTTTAAAAAATAATCATCTACCCCTATTACCCTCCTTCCTGTAGGATGCAATCTACCCACCCTTCACATCCTTAAAACAAACATACATTTTAGAAAAGTAAGTGATGGACTCAGGCATGACATCCACATCTATCTTTACTATTGAACCATGATTTTTCCTCATTATTTCTTTTCCATAACTCTATACTTTACCATAATGTTCTATCAAACTACCCTCTATCTCATCCAAAACATATCTCCTAATATTTCTACATTGATTCACACTAACAATCAAGTTAAACTTTGTACTTACCTTTCCTTATGCCATTTTCAGGTTCTGCAAAAGCTTATTCTTAAAATGTTTTCCAATCCATTTATATGTTACAATGGAACCAAGTTTGAAGAATTGAACAATTATGGTCATCAATTAAGGACTTAATCTGGAAAGACCTTTCACTACTCATCTAAGAAGCCCACAGTCTAAAAGGACAAGAAGGGTTCTTGTTATCTTTACAACATCTTATTAACAACCTTTAACTATCATTTTTCTCATAATAAAGGTTATAATTATTCTTCATTGCATAGTTAGTCACACAAAATTTCAATTCTAGAGTGTTAGAGAATCTGATACCTAGAATTGGCATCATTCTGTCCCATTTATGGTTTCTCATTATCGATAGGGTACACTGGTTTTCCATCCCGATTGTTGGTTTCAATCTCATTATTTGTATCCTTACAAATACCTAACACTTGGTGCAAAAATTCATCACCAATAGTCTTCTCAAGAAAAGGAATCTCATCATCTGCTTCATGTTCGTATGGAAATCATCAGAAAGTTGTGAATCATTTTCATCATCCGGGTCTTGCTCAAAATCATGCTCTTCATCATCTTCTACTACTTCCATATCAGCCCAATCAAGTACACGTTCATTTTCGTGGTCTATATACACATTCATTCTTAGACCATTTTCATCACTATAACCCATATCAATAAATTTAAAGTAGTCAGCATCATTCCTAATTCTCCTAATACCCTCTGACATGGTTCATTTCTAGTACAGTAATATACATTATCGCAACTAGCTTCAATCAACTTTTCAAGAAACAAAATAAACACTTTAGATCCATTGCACCAAAATCGACATCATAGATTGAAACAACAACGTTTAAAGTACACTAATGGTTTTGATGTGAACAAAACATTATAATGTACATAAACTATCAAATACTTGCATCATTTGAAATCAGAGGCTATCTTCTTCACTATAGCACTCACATTCACCGGTTCTCTTCAATTCGTAACCGTAATCTTCGATTGAACTGTTGTCTTCAATTTCACTATGAACCATAAGTTTAAGGAGAAAGGGGGTGAAAGAGAAACGAGAATGAAATGTGTTCTAAGTCCATGTAATACGACATGTCATCTGTAATTAAACATTTTAAAATAAGGAAACCGACAAAACATGTGATAACCAGCTGCGAGAGTTTTTATGAGCAGGAATAACAGGTATAATAAGGACAAAAAAAAAGATAAGGAACCAAATGCAAACAAGTTCAACACTTTGTTATTATTACTTTCTAAGTTATTTTCCCCTTCTTTGCAAATAATTTGCTCTTTCCTAGTCTGACTTTTTTTCTTATGCAAAAGAAACAAAAACCAAACTAAAAATAATATATATATATATATATATATATATATATATATATATATATATATATATATATATATATATATATATATATAAACCGTTGTGTTTAATTTTAGAAATGAAGCAATTATGTTTAATTTTAGATAAGAAGCAATTTTGTTTTGTCTTAAATCCAGAAATAAGAAAGGATTTGAATCAATCTTAATGTGATGCCATTTGTAAATTATCTTGGACCAAATACATAAATGTCACCATATTTTGATCATTTTTATTTGGGAAATTGAGTAATCTAACTCGTATAAATGACATATAAATGAGTTTTTTTTAAAGAAAATAACTATTTGTTTTTTAGTTTTTAAAAAATGATCACAATTTCCTAAATGCCTCATTCCGGACTACTTTTCATTTTTTTTCAAATAATGTCCCGTTTCGGGTTTGATCTTTAAATTCCGGAATTATTTTTTGGTTTTTCCTTTTTTTTGGAAAAATATCCTCACTTATGTCCGAAATGTTCATTTCTAATTATTTAATATCACAATTTTCAATAAAATATATAATTTTATGCACTAATATCGTATATAGTTTATATTTAACATATTTGTTTAACTTTTGTTATATTTAAGTAAAAACATATTTTTTTCGAAATTAATAAAATTTTCTTCGGATTCGAACTTGTTTTTGAAATTTCAGAGTCTCTTTTTCAGAATCCGAAATTTTAGTCGCGAATGTGAATAGTAGTCTGGAATACCGTTCCAGAATCAGTAAAAAGTGTTTTTTCTTGGTTCGGAATGTTCATTCCAGACAAAGGGATTATTTTTGCTAAAAGAAAAACTTTGGTTATTTTTTTTCAAATAAACATTCAAAAGTTGTTAGATTACTCACTATTTTTTTATTTAACCGTTATATTTCAGTTTTGTTGATGAAAACTCCTAAATTTTGATATTTTTTTTTTGTATGGACCATTATTGCACTAGGTTAAAGTAGTAAGTACATAATTCTTTTGTCAAAATGCGTGGTTTTATTAGAATGTTTAGACTAAGAGCATTAAATATGGCCACTTATAACACTATTTCTACATGTCATCTCAACCTTAACACCACCTTAACACCACATTAACACCATATAAAAAATAGTATTCTTATCTTATAACATATTAAGAGGTAAAGAGAGGAAGAAAAATGATTTGATTGGCTTAACCTCACATTGCAAAATGTCATAACGACCACGAGAAGCACTCCATAATCTAGGGGGGCTATATTGTAAATATGTTTGTCGTCTTGTAAAAATTCGACAAACATATTTACAATATAGCCCCTAGACTATGGAGGAGTAGACATTTTATATTACATCTCACGTCACATTCTATATAGAACAATTTACCTATTGATACATGACATGTAACCTATCAACACATGACATATATTCTACTGATAAAAACAAATAAAAGACATTACAAATAAAATAAATTACAATCTCTTCCACATGGAAAGGAATAACGACTACGAGAAGCAATATGACACCACCAGGGGGAGGGGGCAATGTTACCCATATTATGATGTCTTTAAGACATGTCTATGTAGACTATAACGACGTTGTTTAGTCCTATTCTGTATCCTCTAAAACACTAAATCTTGACAAAATATTTGTGACTTAAAAGCTATTGACTTCGAAAAAATTATAAAATATTAATAGTTTTTACTGATGAAACTGAAATATTATTAAAATGATCAAAATATAATGGTTTTTACTTTTTAGATGGGTTTAGATATATTAGTTCTTAACTATCATTTTTTTACAACTTCCTTACATGATTAATTCTTTAGCCTCTTTGTGGTTTTCATTGCACTCCCTTTAGTTATTGTTCTTAGATATGAATTTATAGTTTTTTTCCCCATTATATCGCAAGATTCGATAAATATTTAAAATTTCAAGCTTTCAATGATTCTGATTTCAACAAGCTCCTACATAGGAATGAGCATTGGACTAGGGAACCGTTCGGAACCAAAACCGGATAGAACCGTTCGGGGCGGGGCCGGGACGATATTTTTGTGGATTTTTGGAACCGGGAATGAGAACCGTTAGAAACGGAAGTGGTAGAACCGACAAAAACTAGAACCTTTTGTTGCTATTTCTCGAGGACCAGTTCCAACATTAAAGACACGATAAGAATCGGCTAGAACCGATAGAACCACTGGTCCGATTCGGTTCCTAATTTCGGCCGACTTCAATTCCCGGACCGGTTCGAGCCGGATCGGTTCCTTTGCTCATCCTTACTCTTGCATTTGATTGCTACTTTCAGTGCTTTATGTGGTTAAAAACACCAATAAAATTAACCTTAAACCAAATAAAATCAGTTTCTTTGGAGATGAAAACCGAATCCTTCCGGTTTCATTTTAGTTTTAGTAAAAAACCAAAACTAAACCAAACTATGTCGACCACTTTAAAAAAAGGGTAAAAGCAAACGACACATAAATAACTTAAACTCGAATACAAGCCTTTTAACTTTAAGGCACTTTATACAAATTCTACGTATGATACTATAGTCTACATCACAACGACAATAAACAATCGTGCCCAACCCCTCCCCCCATTAAATAAACCCAATTGCGTCCGGGCCTATCTCATTAGCTTCATAGCATATTAAGAACCCAAACTTTCTTCGATTACCCTTAATTTGTGTTTGACACACACTTTTATGTATCAGATGCATACGCATCTGATACATACAAAGTACGCATCTGATGTGTACAACAACAAAGTACGCATCAGATTCGTACATACATACAAAGGCTAGTTGCGCCAACTATTTTGCCTCTTGGCTTCAAATGCGGAGCCATCATTGAGCATATCTTGAGCATCCGTTTCCATGCCAAGCTTAGAAAGAGCCAACGCTTGCATGTAAAACGCGGTGGGCCACTCGGGCAAACACACCTGAGCTTGCATTGCGTCTCGCAATGCAAGCTCAGGCTGCCCGATCATCATGTAAGAAAGTGCCCGTCTCACAAAAATCGTGCCCGAAGGGACCGGCATCATTGAAACCAACTGTGCATTTTGAAACAAGAAAATGGCTAAATTGAAATTCGTATTTGTTTTTTTTTTTAATCAAGAATTAATTAATTACCTTGGAATAATGTTCAACAGAACCTTTGAAATCCTTGTCCCTAAATGCAATGTCTCCAAACTTTTTTGTGTTTAGCATGTCTTGCACTTGTTGGGTCCATTCTTGGAATGACAGCTTCAACAACATAAGATTTTACCAACATGATACAAATTATCTTTATCTTTTTACCAATATAGGCAATGTACTTTATTGCCATTATGAATCAAAAATAAAATGCATTTCCCATATTGTTAACAAGAGTAAAAAGTACATTGTTATTATGCATTATACTCACCTCATTTTCGGCCCCCTCTTCATCTCTGTATCCTGTTTTAAGCAACATGTCATGTACTGCAGTAAGATCCATTCTTGCACATGCTTTTCCAAGAGGAGAAACTATGGTGGGGACCACTGCCACTGCCACTGCCACTGGAGTTACTGTTTTTATCAAACCCATCAGCACATGTGATGCAACCTGCAAATTTTACACATTTGTCCTCAAAATAATATTTTATAATATCCAATATGGGAAATATAAAAAAAATAATAATAAGTAAGACTGTGTAGTCTCACATCTGTCTGTTTTTGAAGGGGAGCAACTGATGTAAGAAGAAACTTAATATCTGGACGATCTCGCCCCTCGTATTGAAGACACTTTGAAGCAAGTTCCACCATTGCAGTTGCATCTTCATCACCATATTGCCCTTCCAATGATGAATCCATCAACAACAATATGTTTTTTCCACGTATTAAATCTAATGCCTGAATAGAAATAATCAAACACATAATAATTAGTGTTGTTTCTTTCTTACTTAATGGACTTCAATCTGATAAAAAATATATATATATATGTATATTTACATGACTTGGAGGTATATGCTTTCCACTCAAAAGATCCAGTAAGACAGTTCCATAGCTGTAAATCACACTCTCTGGAAAAACCCTGCCTGCAAAACACAAAATGAGACTTTCTCATTAAGTCCTTAACTTTTTTACAAATTTACCCTCAATCCCCATTTTAAGTCCTGAAGTTATAAAATATGAAAAAGTATGAAAGAGTTGCCACCTGTACGCAAAAACTCAGGGGGAGTATAAGCAAGATTAGTACTATAACTCTTCCCATCTCGACTATTTTTCATCAAACCAAAACTAGATAACCGAGGATCACCATCCTATCACAAAAAAAAAAAAAAAAAAAAAAGTACAATAAAACTTTATTTACAAATAAAGATTATTCATTTATCAAGTACATAACATGAGGAAAAGATGTATTGTACTTTGTACCTCATCAAAGAGGACTCTATATGCATTTAGATCATGATAGATTTTCCTATTTTCAGTATTGCAATGATCAAGAGCTTGTGCAATATGGTTTGCAACTCTCACACGCATTTCCCATGGCAAAGGTTGTTTATCCCCTAACATTTGTAACATGTGAAAAGTGAGAAGAGAAAAGAATTGTGTGTTGTATTGTGTATAAATTATAATGGAAAAGCATACAATGAAATAGATGCTTTGAGAGGGTATCATTGGGCATGTATTCAGCGACTAAAAGACGTTCTTCTCCCTCAGCACAACACCCAATTAAGTTGACCAATCTCTTGTGTCTGACTTTGCCAACACCAGCAGCTTCTGCCTATAAAGAATGCTCAATAAGATATAACTATGAGATGAGGAGGGTATTTACGTCTTTTGCACAAGCAAAAGATCGAGAGCAAATAATAAAACCACCCGTTTTAGGATATTTGAATATTTCACAATTGCAAATAAAAAGCAAAATTAAAGCTAGAAAGCCTTCATTGTGGAATTAACATTTTGTTATGTGTATTTGTGTCAAGAAGGCCACCACATTTCTTAAGAAAGCAACTTTCTTGGTAACCCTAAATTGCTTTACCTTTTCATTCAAAAAGGAAAGAAATCATTATCTCACTTTTCATAGAAACAAACTTTTCCCTATTAAAGCTCACAATCATAAAAGGGACAATTTGCAACAGAGAGCAAGTCATTTTCACTTCATTTCTTTATCGCGAAATTTTGATTTTTTAACAAGAACTTCCGTAAGTAAATTTATTGCTATGAAATCAGTGCTCATGAAACACAATTCAAGCTCTTTAGCATTGTTTAAAGAAGAAAAAAAAAAAAAAAAAACCTAGAAACTGAATATGAAAAGCAGAAAGAAGCCACAAAAATCATAGATACATACCACGAATTGTTGTGGGTCGGGCCAAGATAGCTTGGAAAAACGTTTAATGGCAACGACTTTATTGCTACGAAGCTTCCCTCGATAAACCACATTCGGAGCTTTCTCTCCGCTCTCTGAAACTATAAGCTCGCTGCTGAACCCATTTGTAGCCGCTCGAAGCTCCGTCAGTTCGAACTCTTTGAATGCGGGGACTCCTTGATCTTGATCTTGTTGATCTGATGCTTCATCTCCATTGGCTTTTTTAGCAATTTATAACAAGAAAACAATCAATCAGTATCCATGGTATCAAAAATCCAAAATAATACTTCTTTTTAACTTAGAAATACCGACAATAAGCAAATAGAATAATGTTGCTGTTATTACATGATTTGGGTTTTGAAAAGGACAAGATTCGACATCGGAAATCAGTGTAAGTGTTCTGATATTTTAAATATATGATGATAGTGAAATAGTACCTGGATCTGGTTTGGATTCAGGGACTTGATCAGGAGTTTGAACATTGGCGGTTTTGGACTGGAAGCAGCCCATTGTTGATGAAGTTTGTTCACATAAAACTAGTTCAGAGCTCTTTTGATGAAGTTTGTGCGCAAAAGGACAAAAAACCCTAGAAATGTAGATGTGTAAAGGGAGTGTTGTGAAGCTCTGTGAGGGAGAGGGAGCAAATTACAGGGGAAGAAAGAGAGTACAGTGGTTGTGATTGGGGGTGGGGTGGGGGTCGGGGTGGCGGAGGAGAAGTCACATGATAAGTCGACGATGAGCACGTGATCGTGGCAGGGGTTTTTGAAAGTTAGGTCCCGTTTGATAGTTGCTGATTGAAAAAGTGCTGATTGGGAAAGGTCTGTCTGGGTAAGAAATCCTGACTGAGTAAGAAATGTTATTGTTTGATTATACATCTGACTTAATGTGCTGAGTGATGAAAAATGACTATTTTACCCTTCTGTTATATATACTGATGGATTAAGTTACTGAATAATTATAAAAACATACATATTGTCATACAAAATGTAAATTACACACAAATAAAAAATATCATACAAAATGTAAATTAAACATAAATCATTTAATATCCAAATAAAAACATAATGAAATTTAAAATAACATAATAATTTAACGTAAAGTAGGTGAAAGTAGTTGATTTGCAATCTGATCACGCAAAACACGCATATATTCAACGGCTTCTGGACCCCATTCTATGCCTTGTATGTTTTCTCTATCAATTCCCCCACCTTGGACGTCAGGAGTAACCATAGTGTCCTCCTCAAAATTTCTAAACAAGTCATCTTCTATATTGTATTTCCTTATAAAATTATGGATCGCGACACAAGCAATGACTATGTCTCTTTGCACGGTAAAAGGATAAGGAGCCATTTGTTTTAAGATTGGGAATCTCGCCTTCAAAACACCATAAGCACGCTCAATAACATTTCTAAGTTGTGCATGAGCATAGTTGAACCTTTCTTCTCTAGTTAAAGGTCTGCCTCTTCGAAAATCGGCTAACCAATACCTAGTATTGCGGTATGGAGCCATAAACCCACGAGTGTTTGTATATGCGGCATCACAAAGGTAATACTTCTCTGCAAATGAATGTGACACATATTATATAAAGAAGATAGATAATAAAAGTTATATAAATATTACAAACCCGGTGGAGGAAATGGAAATCCAGAAGTCGAATTGAATGCAACTTCTTTCAAAACTCTTGAATCATGTGCTATACCCTCCCATCCAGCCCAAACAAAGGTAAATATCATATCAAAATCGCAAATTCCTATAACATTTTGAAAACATTCTCCTTTTCCTCGTCCCCTATAACGAGTTTGTTGATCAACGGGTACAACCGCATGTATAAGAGTTCCATCTAATGCACCTATTGCTCCGGAAAAAATATTTTTTAACCGTCTATGTCGTTCTGAGTTATGTCTTGTTGGATTAGGAGTTGTTGGTACTATAATTTCTTTTGCAAAACACATCATTGCAGTTAGGACCTCATGAAAACATTGATGAATCGTTTGTGTGGAGTGATGAAATCTTCCCTTAACCGCGCGAAAACGTTCATTATGTCCTATAACATGTAAGAATATAGCCATTTTCTCTTCAATGCTTATTGTCATGCTAGCTTGCAACCAATTTTTTTGGGTAAAATGGTTGCATAATAAAGAAAATGCCTCTTGTGTAAGACGCATCATATCGTAACATTGTGTAGGGTCTCCGTACATCAAATCTTGCGTATACGCATACCCGCTTGAATCGTTATCTCTAATTCTATGAATTCGTATTAGTCTGCGTCGGTTTGACCTCAACCAATAAAACACAAGTAAAAGAAAAGCTACAACTTCACCATCAGAAACCATACTTGACCTGTTACAAACAATTAGGTAACATGTTAAAGTAAAAAATAGGATCCAAAAGTGATATTCAATATCCAATAACATCCGAAAGTCATAAAACAAAAAACTAGTAAATTCAAAAGTCATATTTAACATCCAATAATAGCCAAAAGCCATGCAAATAACATCATCCAAAGTAACATCCAAAGTGTCAAACATAGGATCCAAAAGTGATGCAACAAAAAACTAATAACCAAACTTTTCTACCCACACCCATCAAAGGTAACCATACTTCCTACCAGCACCCATCACCCACGACTCACAACTAGTATGTGAAAGTCGTAACCAAACTTTTCTAACATCAGCACTTTCACCAAATAGCAAAAGAGCGGTCTTGTGTCTTTCATCTTCTTTCCCCCATTCCATTTTGTTTAATTTCTCCATACACGCATCAACATCCTTATCCATTTCACTTTTTTCAATTCTTTCATTTTTTTCCACTAACGACCTTGCAAGCTTGACAATCTCCTCTTCAACTTCTAACGCCCTTGCATCTCTCTTTTTTCCACCAACTCTTTTGTTTCCACCAACTTCCGTATTTTTTGAACGCCCCGAAGATTCTTCACTTGCACCTACGTGTTGTGTTGAGGTTTCCATTGGAACATCATCATCAAAATCATGGACACTAAACTCTTCTACAGGACGAGGGAGTGTAGAAGATGGCCCCCAACTTTGAAAGCCGGTTGAGGTCGACCCTTCAAATAGTTGGGTGCAAAGATCAGGAAACAGCAGGGGTTTAGTTTTCAATGACAACACGAACTTGTTCAGCTGTTTACAATTTTTATGAATATTAGTATTTTTATAAAAATAATTCTAATAGTATTTGTTATAAAAATAATTCTAATAGTATTTGTTATAAAAATATTACCTTCCCCTCTTCCTTCCATTGTTCATCCGTCAGGTTAAATTTATTTTTTATAGGGTCATATATATTGCCGGTTTTGTTTTTCAGTTTCACCCAAGCAACATACTTTGATTTGTAGTAGTCAAAGTGGTTTCTCATTTGCTTTTGATCAACCTCTTTACCGTGTTCGTTCATCAATTTTTCGCGTACTATCTTCCATGAACTAGCCTTAAGCCCAGAACCCTCAAAACCATTAGTGGTTAGTTCATGGATACATGCGTCAAGAAAAGTTTTGTCCTCACTTTCATTCCAAACCAACATCCTAAAACATTAATATTTAAAGTAATTTATCATAAGTTTTATTAAGATAAACAAAAAAAAATCAGCTTTTATAGCTTATAAACAACCAAGTTTGTACACAAACCAATATTGCCATCATAACTTTTATATTTCATAGCTTATAAACAAAAAAAAATTGTGATTTTTGATCACATATCTTATACACAACCAAGTTTTAGATTTCATAACATTATAACAACATGAATTTCTGATTTCATAACCAATTTAAGATTTCATAACGTTAGACCAAGAACAAATTTTGATTTCAAAACCAATTTTTGATTTCTGATTTCACAAAAAGGGCAACAACTTAAAAAATAATAGCAATCTTCTCATCATTTATTACGCATATAATGTTATGAATGAGTCATTTGATGCATCATCAACACTGTACACATGATTCTTTTTCAGTTGTTTCTATGCAATTTCAGTTGTTTCTTTTTCAGTTGTTTCTATGCAATTTCAGTTGTTTCTATGCATCATCAACACTGTACACATGATTCTTTTTCATTTGCTGCAACTTTGTGAACAACAATGGCATACAAGAAAGAAAAGTCTACGGGCCTGTAATTTGATGTAATTTGATACAGGTAATTTCATAGATTATACAATGAAAAAAATCATGGTTTCATAATTTATACATACATTATACATAGTTAAGATTTAAGAGATTATACATATTTTTTTTTCTGATTTCATACACTATACGATTTCAGAGATTATACAAGCAGGAGAAGATGTTATACCCTAGTATTTTTGGATTTCATAAACTATTTAAGAGATTTTCGGAATTTCCTTACCTGTTTTGAAGATTATAGATGGAGCAGATGGGGCGATTCTGGCAGGAGAAGGAGAAGACGGGCGGAGCTTGGATGGAAGGAGAGCAGCTTTCCGGCTGAAGGAAGAAGACCCCGGTTGAAGAAGTCGCCGATTGAAGAAGACGTCGATTGAAGAAGAAGAATGGCTGCCGCTTTTCTTTTTAGGTCACGAAGGGAACAGGGGTAAGGAAGTCTTTTTTTCCAGTCAGATGCATAAACCAAGCTGACCTATTCAACCGATTAACCCAGACCTGCTGACCGAAACAGCACATTTCAAACACCATCTGGCTGACCGAGTCAGCCAGAATCGCTGACTCAGACGGGTCAGACGTCTTTCAAACAGGCCCTTACTCATTTCTCCAAGGAAGTTATTTTTTTTTATAGAAAATGCAAAATTGGTCTTTTTTTCCCCACATATTAAAAAGTTTTCTAGCTTGTAAAGATTTTTTTTTTTTTTTTTTTTTTTTGGAATGTGCAAATTGAAATGACTATTATATTTTGTAATTTATTGTTTATATTTCTGGTATTTATTTTAGTATTTTATAACTAAAAGAAACTTATCTTTCACTCCATTTTATTAATTTCTCATTTTGAGTTGCATCCCTTTCTTAACATAACATTGATTTGTGTCATTCAATTCCTCTAAGACCATGTGATGCGCCGCTTACCGCATACCGCGATATAATATGGTATATGGTAAACACCACACCGACCCCCCCAATAAAAGTATGGTATGCATAGAGTGTGTTACAATTTTACCGTATTGTACGTAAGAAACAATCATTCCTTTAAATGTTGTACTTCATGCATAAATGTGTATTATGATGGATGTGGTATCACCCATCATTTTTGTGGAGTGAGGCAAAAAAAATAACATGACAGTTGAAAAATATGGTTAGTGTGGTATGACATCCACCAGCCTAATATAAAAAGACCATGATAGATTTCGGCTCTTCTAAATAATCGAGAATTGGCACAATTGGGTATGTAAAGTATTAAAAAATAATTAATAATCCATGAATGATTAAACACTTCAAAAGGAAGTCCTTACATAATTTGATTGAGTTTTTTACTATGGTTGTGGTTTTCAGTTCTAAATAATCAAGAATTGATCATGTGGAAGGGGACAAGGGTGTAGGATATGGTTGGGTGGAAGTGGGGATAAGGATGGAAGTGGACATTTTTTAAATTATTAATAATATTTTAGTATAAAGTAAATAAAATAAATTATAAAATTAATGTTCAAGGGGAAAAATAGTTATTTCAATTTGGACAGAGACTAAAGTCACACAATAAAACTTGTAAAAAATAATCAAAGTTACAACCATCGACGATGATGAGAAACTCCACA